CACCCAGGCTGTGCTCTCAATCCATTCTCCACCCAGGCTGTGCTCTCAATCCATTCTCCACCCAGGCTGTGCTTGTCTGCACCCGTGTGAGGAGCCCACACGTGGCCTGGCTGCCGAGGTTTGCACAGAGCCCCTGCCCAGCCTGCCCGGCTCCCTCGGCTCCATCCCTTCCCCCAGCACCCACCACACCAGTGGTCACTGCTCAGTGTCACTGCCAAACCTGCTGAGGGTATATTGTACCATTCCTGTGTCATATTTCCTTTCGCTTTGTAAAAATAGCATCATTTTCTGTCCTAGGTAAGATTCAGACTAAAGAATCATCTAAGCCAGTGTCTGGGTTGGTTTTTTATTCTAAGTGACTCAGATTACATATTTAACTTTTAAGAGTTTTTCTTTGTTCCTACCAGTATGTTATGAGGGGCTCATTAAATACTGACCTAAATCCATCTCTCTGCATTTCATTGTAGTATGGCAGATTTTGTGATGGTTCTAATCAGGCTTAGTAGAGCTGCCCACCTCAATTCCATTAAGGAAAAGTCAACACATGCACACTTGCACCCTAAGCTATTGGTGATTCCTGGATCAAGCAAGCAAAGCCCACAGAGATAAAACAGCTGTCCTACTTTATAAAAGATATAAAGTATCTTTTATAAAGATATACATTTTATATCTAGCCTTCTTCTTTCCTTTTATTTTTCTGACCCCTTAAAAGTAAAACAATGAAATAGAATACAACATTAAATAAAACCAGAACTTTAAACAAACTTATTAAAATAGCTGGTTTTCAGCTTCCAGTTTATTTTCGGTGTCCCTCACCATTCAGTTTTGCTTTCTATTTTAAACTCTAAATGAGGCTGAGGATATTGAGAAGGCAAGAATATGGCAAGCTATTTTTTCCAATTCTGCTTATTCTACAAATGACCTTTATCAGAACTTCCTTGTGCTAAACACTGCTGCTAGAACTGATTGAATCAGATCTGAGCTGTTCAAATTGTATTTAGGGAAGAAAAAAGTTTTAAGAAATCAGATATATATATGATTTTAAAATATGATTTAAACATAAATATTGCATTAAGTATCTTTTTAAAAACAGCAGTAATGTTTCAGGCAAAAAATAACAAATTTTCCACATTCTGCCTGAAGTGTAGCCTTATAGATATGATAAATTCACTTCCTACTTCACATCCTTTCCACATAGCATCAAAAGGCACTCACAGAGAATAAATTATTTAACGAGTCCTTTGCTGTTAAAAAAGTTTAGGGCAGATTAAAAAGTTATATAACACAAAACCCGCAGCCAGAGCAAATACATATGTCAGAATTTGTTGTTGTTGCTGTAGTTAACAGTCAGTTTGTCAGAACATTAATGGTCCAACAACCCACAAACCAACAGTTAATTGCTAGTAATGATTGGCTTCTTGGGGATTATTGCTTAAATAAATCTTAAAAGTTGTGTGCTGTTAAGTAACTTACAATTTTCTTGAAGTTGGCAGTGAAGTCCAATGGTTAGTTAGTGTAGTCAGCCTCACCATTAATCCTGATCCCCTGAGTCCAACCATTAATTCTAATCCCTTGCATACGTCGAAAGCCAAGTACAAAAGTCCCTGATTGTCTTCAACTATTCATTTGGAAAAATGTTACCAAATATCTTGAGAGTGGAAAAAGAAAAAATTAGCCTCATGGTCTCGTTCATGCTCACAGTAGAAGGAAGAAAAGCCTGAGTGCTGACATCTCTGCTCAGTATAATTGCCACCTCTGAGGTAGTTTAGAAATCCTCATATATAAATTTGCAGTCATCACACATTACTGGGACTGTACATTTAGTGTTTTGCTTCCAAAAATACCAGGAAATTATTAAAATTAACTAAACCTAGATCAAAAGATTATGGCCACTCTGGGGACCCACAGTAATACACAATTTTATCAACACATAGAATGTCATACATTGCATTTGTTAGTCCCTTTACTAACATCAGACCCTCAGGTCAGGCCAATTATTTGATAGAATAAAATTTCAAAAAGCACTAAGAAACATCAATTAGCTGTAGAGAGGGACTTTTCCTTTCATAGATCAAGAGCTAAGACCCTTGCAACAAATGTGAAACTTTGTCATGTGATTTCCAAGGGCACTAGGAGTCCAAGTTTTCCATCTTAAAAGAGTAGTTCTGGGAACTGATAGAGAGATTTGGTCAGAGCCACCAATGTAAAGGAGTACCCACACATTGCAATATGACAATGCAATGTCAGCTAAGTTTGATACCTCTGGATAGTCAGATTCTTCTGGTTTTATATTTTAAAAAGCTACACAGAACCAATTGCACCATTTCTGCTGAGAAATCATAAGATTTCTGGGAGAGTAAATCCAACCCACTTTTAGGTACACAGACATTATAGAATTGCTATCAGTGGCTCCTGAGCTTCTGAAGGGTTTTGTTAAAGGTAACAGGTTCCCCCCACAGACAGGACCATCCTACATCCCCACCAAGCTCCCTGCAGTAAGGGGAATCTCTTCAGGGTAGGGGTGAAGCATAAAGATTTCTGCTATATGTTTTATAGTTTAAAACATGATTTACAGTGATGAAGAAAACAGCATTTGTTCAGCAGGTTTTTAGTAGGGTGAACAACAGGTAATAAACCCAGAGAAATAATTAAAACAAGTTCATAAGATACAAGGTGAACTAGGTCACAAAAAACAAATCTACATAAAGCACTACTAGTGCGAGTGAGGATAATCCAGAAAAATTCATATCTGCAATATGTTCCCAAACAGGCAGCTGCCAACACCTGTACTTGAATAAACTGAGGCATAGAAATGTAGTGACCTATAAGCAATACTTAAGAAACCCACAGATCCCCACACACAGTCCTTGTGATCCCTTTCTCTCAGAGAAACCTACAAAGTGTGACAATGCATTAATAAATAATAAGTATTTCAAGTCAAAATTTAAGGCCTGAGTTGATTAATAATTTTTTAAGATAATTTCCAAATTCTATATATCCCTAGGGTGAGCATTTGAACTTGAAGTTAAAATTAAAAAAATAAAAATAAAAACATAAAAAAAAAAAACCATAAATCCCAAACCTACCAACTGTAATTCACCTTAAATGTTCCTGAAATCTTAATTTTATGAGTCTCTACTGAAATGCATTGATGGGTTCAACTTATTACCTCCTTTTTCTCTTCAAGGTAATGATTCACTTCAGTTTTACATCAACGTGTTAAAACAACCTGAAGGGCGTGAGTATAATTTTCATCATCTCAAATTTCATATATCAAGAGAAATTAAAGGAGTCAAGACATCACTTTCCCATTCTAGTTTCCATCCCATCTAGGTTTCTAATTGAACTGGTTCTTTCCAAGTGTGAATTTTCTGAAGCATTGAATTTCTCAGAACGGATGAAACACAGGGTAAAACTGTTCTCACCTACTGCCAGATCCTCTCTAACCAGTGCTGGTCACTGACTAGATCTCACCTCAGTTTCGCAGCTGTAATTTTCAGAGCTATTTCTTTCATACCTCCTTAGCTTTTATAGCTATCAGATACAATTCTCATTTTCTAAGAGTTGTTTTTTCATTATGCTCATCAGAAAAAAAAGGCTACAGATTTAGACACCCTCAATAGTTTTTCCTCCAGATAAAAGCCACAAGATACCTTTAAACAAAATATATGGAGCAATTTCTGCATAGAGCAATTACATACAAGAAAAGGTTGTGTGGGTATTGAGAGAGCTGTGCTATTATCAGTATTTTTTTTCTTTACTACAGCAGTGGTACCTAAGCTCTGACTATTTTGAACACTATTTTCAGGTATTTTTGCAAGCAACAGAATCCTTTGGCATGGCATACTTGCTGACATCGCTGCTTACACTTTATATATGTATAGATATTTATCCTTAAGAATTCCTTGTCTGGGGAATTCTAGTCTGATGTATAGAAGAAAATGTTAAAGATTGCAAAAGTTTGCCTTGGACTCCCTTAGCTACTCACAAAACAACAACTTACACTGATCACACAATGAAACTCTGAGTCTCATAGACACGGTGACCCTCACAGGACTGACTCTTAACCTCATACCTCATGGAAATGCTATTCCTGTTTTTAATAAATTTATTAAGTCCCATCCCTGTCACAATACACACAGTACAGGTGGAAGAGATATCACCTAACCATTCATTCCTGTGAGCGAACACAAATCAAAGTACAAGCAGGAAAACACTGCACAATGGGGTTACAAAGAGCAATGCCAGCTTTCACCTCCTCCTCACTCTGCCCTCTGTCCTGTAGTACCAAGGCAGGTAAAATGAGCATTTGTGACCTCGGGCTCCATCCCACCCCAGCCCTCAGACACCTCAGCAGGTGCCTGCGTTCCCACAGGCTTGCAGCAGGCGACCCTGTAAAGAGAATATCGTAACCACTCACTGCAATAGTACATCAATTATTTGTTAGCAGCAATACTAACCTGCCACAAGACAGCTGCCTCGGGAAAGTTTAGAAAAGTCTTAATAAAATATGCATAAGTAACTATGAAAATATAGTAGATAACTGTCAAAATAACTTTGAATACAGCAAAGCATATCTGCTGACTTTCCAGCACAAAAAGAATTTATGGTAATAAGTTTTGGAAAGTAATACAGCCGTGTTGCTAAAAATGCAGAGCAGCTGCTTCAGTTATTATAAAATGGCTAATTTTTACTCATTTGTGACATGGTTTTGTAGATGGGTAACAGCTGCAGTTTCACCCAGCTGCATCCTGATGCTAAATGCACACTTTAAGCCATCAGATGAAAGTATAGATTGCTTTACTTTACAGCACTAAGTACCAGCGCCTTTCTAAGAAATACCCTGAAGGTCATTGGCAATTAAAGGTCCCCAAGGTCTCTTTCACTCGGGGATGGTGACAGGCAGACACAAGGTCTCCACAAGTCAGACACTGTATAGCAACATAGCAAGTAGTAACTGAGCTGCATGGATTTAAAAGGATGTTGAAAGGGCTTCCTACCTGGTACAAGTTGCTACTCCCCCTCACAGCCTGGAACCCTAGATGCTGGCTCTTCTCCTTAATTGCTGAGGTAACACGAATTTCTCTAGTAAGAAGTGGGAAAAAAAAAAGAAAAAAAAAAAAAGAAAGAAAGGTTCTATTGGCTGCTGCCTCCTTCTTAGAAAGGTTACTTCAAATGCCTCTCTCGCTCCCTATTTATTTTCTCTCCCTCCCAGAAGAGCAGTTTAGAGGGAGAGTAACGGAGTGTTTATCCTGGCTCTGAGGATGCACGCGTGTGCGATAACTGCCTGCTCCCTGCAGTATAGCCGGCATGATGTGATGTGCATACTAAAGCAGTTTGCATTAGGCAAGGCTTAGCAGAGCCAGCTTCCCAGTCTCCACCTTCCGTATCACACAACCAGCCTGCTGCCCTGAACAGAGAGGGGCTATAATGACAGGACGGTAGGGCTCTGATTGGAGTATAAATGCATTTTCTTTGAAGATAGTCTTTAAGGAAAAGGTTATATTTATGTATCGCCTCACCTATGAGAACACAGCAGCAGCTGAGAGTGAAAATACAATACAGTCATACAAATGTACAAAAATTCCCTGTTGTTTGCTGTCATATGACAGATGATACTGAAAGCAAAAACTAATGAGACATCTCCAGTTAGGAAACATTTATCTGCTGCCATCTATCAAGCAAGCAAAGGCGTAAATAAATAAATAACGCCCCGAAGAACAGAGAGGCTTAAATGTCTACAAGCTCAAAGATAAATGCGTGATATTTATACACTTTAGTCATGACTGAACAACAGATACATTATGAACAAGAATTAGCTCTAAAGTACTACATTTATCATAAATCTATATAAATATTAGAGAAGGGCTCAAGATGTAAAGCCCTGATTTGGATTTTGAACACTCCACAGCTCAGGAGTGCCTCAATCTGGGGATTTGGCTCTGGCCTCTCTGTCCATATTAGCTGCTCATGCACACACTTACAGAAGTACACAAAATAAGTAAGACTATAAACAATTATACAAGAAATCTCTTTGTTTGCCCAGGTGTAAGAGTACAGTAGTAAAGGCTACTCTGTTGGCTGCTTATACTTATTCTTTTTTTTTTTTTTTTTTTTTTTTTTGGGATTTTTTTTTTTTTTTCAAAGCATATTTCCAAAATACACATAGAGTTGGACTATTGTGCAACTCTATAAAATATCTGGGCATCCTTTCTGGATGATCCCCTTAGGAGCATCAGGAGTCACCAGGGACATGTTTCTTCCTCTGCCCTACACTAGGCCTGACCAACCTAGAGGTAGGGAACTTCTCCTGAATTGTCTGTCTATTCAGAGTAATTTTATAGCCATATAGTCTTTGCTCTATATTCAACTGTTCTACAATTAATTTTTTCCCTCCATGCTGTTTACCTCTCTGGAATGTTTATGAACATTTAAATCACCTTTGGATAGATGATTTAAGGGAGCTACCTCAGTCTTTTCCTTATGTGGACACTTTTGACCTGCCTGGCAGCAGTATCAAGTGGGGAGGTTGGTTTGGTTGGTTTTGTTTTTATATTAAGCACGAGTGACTAAGACTGTGCTGATGTTCCAGCAGACAGCTGAAAAACATTTTATAATTACAATGTTAGTATATTTTCCTCTCTATTAGAAAAAGATTGCAGTGCTTTGAAAGATTGCGTTTACCTTTTTATGGCTCCATCATTCAGGGAACCCTAATCATCTTGTATCAACTTGTACACCTAAAGCCTTCTCACTGGATGAGTTCTCACTTTGCAGAAGTTAATGTTAGGGTTTCCCACATCCATGGATCTGATTTCCATACTAGATTTTACTTTCATTCACAAAGTTCTTGCTGGTCTCTATTTTGTATATGATATTGTAATACTCCTTTATACTGACAATGCCTCTTATCTTCTCATGCAGCAGACTTTATCACACAACATTTATGCAAGGATTTTAAATATATGTTTTATTATTACCAAGACTGATTATTGATGAATTGTACAAGTAAATTTCTTTCAGTCTATTACTCCCATATGTAAAGCTTCAAGTCTGCAAAAAGCGCTGGGATATGGATGCAAAAAACACTTACACAAAATATCTCCATTCAATGCCACAGTGCCATATAGTGTGATAAATCTATAGCTGGACATCCACATAATGAACTGTCCTTTCATTTCCATATCTTGAATGAAAGTTCCCAAAAAAGTTCTGGAAACATTGTGTTAAAGGAAAAGGAAAAAAAAACCAAAAAAAACCCAGAAAGACAGCCCCACACTTGAATTAGTGCCACTACTTAAGGACAGACTACAGGTCTGGTTTTTAGTTCTGTATTAAAAATCTGGGGATCTAGTTAAAGTCTTCATCAGAACGTTGGCAGTGATGCTGATGTGTGCAGACACAGGTGCACAATAATATATTATTCACAGCACTGAAGTACTGAAGCTTCACAACCTTATAAGATGACAAAAGACTCTTGAGTTGTTTCTTCTCTTTTGCTGTGTGTAGCTTTGATATCTTTTAAAAGATTGTGGTTTTTGCTCACTATTAGTTATGAAGCTTGAAATCTCTATTCCAAGTATAGTCTAAATTGACTCAAATATTGTCACTATGGACATAAATAATTTAAGTCAGGAACTGCTGAAATTAATTGCAAGCCTTAACCATTTTTCATGCATTTTTGTTTAAGACCCAGCATATCACTTTGAAGATATCCGTTAAGATACCTATATCAAACATACATATATGCACAGACATCTGTGTACAGATTGTAAATTACCCTAAGATTTTCAATAGAGCACTCCACTACCCACAGTCAGTTAAAGAAGACTGGAAAAGAAGGTGTTTTATATATATATACATACACAATTGCTGCCAGGGGTTCCTCAAAAGGCTAGCAACAGGGAAAAATTAAACTGCCTGTAGCCAATTTTAATACAACCTGTTATTCTTCCGATCCTATGACAGACATGAGTTCTGAGTGAAATAGAAGTAACATTTGGCTGGCTAAAAAATCTTTACAGACAACTCTGCCAACAGACATTACACATTAACATTGACAATGTCTGATGTTCATTGTGCAAACATTCTCCTTGTGTTTCAAGTCAGAGCCAAAAGATATTTTATGGCTTACATAAAGTTTAGTGGCAACAGCAGAGGCATATTTTTATGGACAGTAGAGTAAAAGTCCCCCTGTTCCTGAAAAGGCTATTGGGAAACAGCTGGCAGTCACTGCCTGTTGAAAAGTGCAGATATTGGAATAGAGTATAAAATATACCTGTCACTCATGCTTGCAAGGGTGGACACAAGCAGCAGCCACAAAATATTTTCTAGGTATTAATCACATCTTCCAAGAAAACTTTAGAATCTGAGTAACAAAATAATCAATTCCCACTGAAATAGAATAGAGGTGGGTTTGGTTGGTTATTTTTGGGGGGTGGTTAGGAAGGAAATGGGAAGGAGCCGTTCTAAAAATCCTGATTCCTTTGAAACACAAAGGTCAGCTGCTCACCCAGACTTTCAAAGATCAAAACTACACAGCTGTATAGGTCAAGAGAAACACAAAGGTTTTTCAAAAGGCACTTTCTGCCTTACTAGACAAAAGGAAGAAAAAGCACATAGTCAAAGTGAAAATAAAGTTTTCAAAAAAAAAAATCCAAATTCATTAAAGTTTGAAACCAAAGGTTATTTTTAAAATAAAAGGAGTATATATAATTAATAACAATGTTAGTGTTACTGTCTTACATAGCTAGGCTTTAATCATTGCTTACCAAAATGTGGTATATTATGTGTATTTCAAATATTTTAGTGCTTTCTTTCTTCCTTCTTGAAGTTGGCAGGTATGAAAGGCAAAAAAAAAGACTCTGTGCCTCTTGGTGTTTAACTTTTGGAAGTCCTATTTCAGAATGGCAACGTCACCATTCCATGCTGACAAACTATTGGCAATAATTTCAATGCAGGATAACCAGAAAAGTTTGACATGTAATTATAGACTGAGAATTGGAAGTGAAGAGGGGCCAAAGCTGCTCTCATTCCTCACTTGCTCAGGAGCATGAGATGTTTTTAACAAGGACACAGCATTTTGGCCCACTAAGGAAAATTTGAGATTATTTCTATTTCAAGCCAATAACTTCTCTTGACAAACAGGTAGATCCCTCTCTCCATCTCAAAAGGAAATAAACTGAAATCCTTCATAGATACACTAGAGAAGTCAGCAATTGACATATGACCAGCTTAAAGATGAAACTGATTGGTATTCAAGAAGAAAAATAAAAAAGGAAAAAAAATCCTGCTTTTTGGCTCACACACTGAGTTTGCTTTAGCAATAGGCAAATTAGTATGCATCTTCATTAAACAGTGTCTATATTTGAAAGGAATGTTCCTGTTCATTACCTGACAGAGCTTAAATGTAAAAAGGCTGAAGGCCAAAAAAAGTGCTCCATATGATTAGCTCTGATTTTCTGTTCTACATGAAGTACATCATTAAAATGAAATTACTATTCAGTGTAACCAATATAATTCAGTCCAACTGTTAGAATTAGTGTTTTCTCAAACTCCATTCTGGGAGAATGATCCAATCTCCCTCAAATACATATTTTCTCAGGGACAGAGAAGAGCAGGGTACCAAACTCTCATCACCTTTGGACACAAGCCAGTAGGAGATGGATAGAAAGTTTTGCTCGGGTACTAGCTTCTGTGATAAAAAACTTATTTAAATACTTTTGGTTGAAATTTTATTATTCAAACTAAAAGTTGTAGTCTTGTGGGTGAGAATAATAAAAGAAGTTCTGCAAAATATTTAGGAGAACAATAAGATCTAAAATATCAGAACATGATAGCACTTCTTTTCTTTCCAGGAAAGCTAATCTATATTTAATAACTGAGTACCAGGAGAGGGGCACTCATAACAGGATGAGAAATATTACAGTGTTTCTCTTGTTAAGCATGAAATATAGCCATTAAATCGTTAAAACCTCTGTAGTGCTTAAATATGACAGAAGAAAATTGGTCCCAATGAGATGATATGATCCTATTACAGTCTTTTAAAATGGTGAATATGGACAGCAAGATTGGGAACTACTCTACTTTTCAGTGAAATTTCAGGGCATAACCACCACTGCAGTGAATCAATTTTGACTTCCCAGAGAGATTTACACAGAGATGCAGAATAAAGCACATTAATCTCTTCATGTGTCCCCAGAGGGGAAACATTTTGCTTAATTAATAACTCTTTAAAACAAAAAATTGTTTTCAGATACATATTTGTTCTCCAAAACCAAAGTTAACAATTTGAATGATAGCAATATTTG